AAAAAAAAAATTTAAAAAAAAATCCTATATTCTAAACCAATACCAGCATTGCAAGTGACATATTCCTAAACCTAACTGACATCATATCTAACAAAAAAAAAGTCATAATATGAATATCTGTAAGTTGACTAACATAATTTAAGTTGGAGGCTGACCGACTTGGTATATTCATATTTCTCTTGCTCCTCTTTGTGGCTAGATATTACACCAAGTCAACCCCCCATTCAGCAGAGTTGGACAGGACCAATATATTTGGTGGTTTTACTTAAAATGTTTTGACACAGGTATCAAGGGATGTGAAAGTTCTGGGATTAACCTGTTCTTAACATTCTGTAAAGGTATTTAATGCCACTGAATTAACTGTACACTTAAAAATATTTAAAATAATAAACATCACGTTACGTAGATTTTACCATCATTTTTTTAAAAAAGAAGAATCACTATTTTACATGTCTGTTTCAGAGCCACAGGGGACTCTGAAGCCTCTTTCAACATGAAGTAAAGCAGAATGCAGAATAAGGAAAAGACATGTGGGGTACAAAGACATTTGCAGTCCAGTGGTATTTGTGGAGGAGACAAAAGCATGGGGTTCTCCTATAAGCCTAGGAAGGCCCCATCTCTGGAAAGGTACACAAAGGACCTGTAGGCCGGCTGCCCCAGGGAGAAGGGACCAAGGAACAGGAGCATGAAGGAACTCACCTTTACTAAAGTCCTTCGGTTCGATTTGAAGGTCTGATCTTGCACATGTATTAACTATTCAAAGTAAACTAATTTTTTAAAGTAAGTAAAGATGCGTTTCTTTGGAGAAAAAAATTCAAGTAGAATTTTTTTTGTAGCTATACACATGCTGATTGTAAAATTTAAATGAAAAGGCAAAGGAACAAAATAGCTAAAACAATTTTGAAAAAGAAGAGTAACAAAAGGAATCATCACACTAACCAATTTTTAAGACTCACTATACAGCTACAGTAATCAACACAGTGGGGACAGCAACACAGAGCAATGGACAACAAAAGAAAGCCCAGAAATAGATCGACAAAATTGTGGCAAATTAACTTTTGACAAAAGTGCAAAAGCAATAGAGAAAGGAGAGTCTTCTCAACAAATGGTTTAAAAGAATTGGACATCCAAATGGAGTAAGAACCTTAACCTAAACCTCACATCTTATTAAAAAGAAAAAAATATTATCAGAATGGATTACAGATCTAAGTATAAAGCATAAAACTATAAAACTTCTGCAAAAAAACACATGAGACAGTAATTGTGACCTGAAGTTAAACAATGAATTCTTGGACACCAAAAGCACTATCCATAAAAGAAAAACTGGATAAACTGGCTTCAATAATATTAAACATTTTTGCTCTGCTAAAAGAAACATTAAGAGAATGATGAGACATGACAGCTACAAACCAGAAGAAAATATTTACAATCCACATAGCTGACAAAACCTCCTATCTAGAACTCTAAAAACAACATCAGCCATTAAGGAAATGCAAATTAAAACCACAATGAGATACTAGTACACATCTATCAAAAATAGCAAAAATTAGAAATCATGACCATACCAAAACGGACAAGGATGTAGAAAAATTGGAACTCTCACAACTGATGGTGAGAATGTAAAATGGTATGGCTGCTTTGAAAAATACTTACTTTTATAACCATCAATCCCACCTCTGGGTATCTATCCCTGAGAAATGAAAATTTACATTTACACAAAAACCTAGGCATGAATGTTCATAGGAGCTGTAATCATAACGGCTAAAAAACTGGGACCAACCCAAATATCTTCAACGGGTGAATGGGTAACCACTGTGAAACATCCCACAAAGGACTAGCGCTCAGCAATTAAATGCAACAAACTGCTGACACAGGCAAGAACTTGGATGAATCGCAAAAGCTTGTGGGAAGTTTTGGGGGTGTTGGAACTGTTCCGTGGCCTAATTATGGTGGTAATTACATGAACCTATACATTTGCTGAAATTCACAGAAATGTACACAAAATGAAAAAAAATTAATTTTTTTGTGTAATTTTAAAAATTAAGTTTAAAAAGAAAAAGATAAACAAGATAGGTAATACATACCAAGACTACAAGTCTGCTTCTTTCACAGATTCCAGGAAGGTAAGGATAGGGGGGCATTCCTTCACCCTTCAAACAAGAACTCACCCACTGATAAATACTTGGTGGCTCAGAAGTAAAAAATGATGGATGATGCATAAATCCTGTTTGACCTTTAGAATTAGATAAACATTTATAAAGACACAAGAATACATTAAGATAATACCATTTTATTCTTTTTTTTTTTTTAAAGTAGGTTCCGTGACCAGTGTGGAGCTCAACATGGGGCTTGAACTCACAACTGTGAGAGGAGGACCTGAGCCGAGATCAAGAGTCAGATGCTCAACCAACTAAGCCACCCAGGCGCCCCACAATACAATTTTATTCTAAAGGGAAAATAATCAGTATCTGCCATTTGGAAACAATCAGAATAACATTTTTCTCCAAAATACTCCATGTTTTCTGTCACAGAAAATGACTGACTATATTATAATATGTAGAATGTAAATGACTACTATCTTATCCCACTCTGGATGGAAATTTAGCAAATTCTTATACTCAAGGCATATGAAGAATCTAATCAAAATTTTGTACCCTAATCCTAAAGGTGAGAAAACAAGAGAAACCTAGGATTCCACTCTAACAATTGGGACCCGATCTTGAGTTGCTGTAGTTCAAGGTCTAAGGCAATAGAATGGTGACAGAAATGTTCTATACCTGTACTATCCAATATGGCAGCCACTATTCTATGTGGCTACTGAGTACGTGAAATGGGGCTAATGCAACTAAGGAACTAAATTTTCAGTATGAATTAATTTAAATAACATATGGTTACTAGCTACTGATTAGACAGGTCTAGGGCAAAGCATCCTTAGCACTTGGGGATGGATAAAACTTTTCCCACACACCGAAGGAGAAGTTAATGTTATCTCTTACTGTAAGTCAGAGGTCAAACACTACAAACTGAAATCTACCTGATGGAAAAATAGCACCTCTGACTTAGACAGTAAAGGTAAGAAATACAGTGCTATTCATCAAGAAAGATACGAGAAAACGTCACTCACCATTTAGATAATCTTTAATGGCACAAACACTTACCTTGATCAATTGTGCACACTTGTCCAGTGGTTCTGACAAGTGTTGGGTAATCTCTATAGTAATGATCTACATAAGGCTCCAATTTTAAATCCCTAAAACAATAAGAGCATATAAAAAAGAAATCACAAGAAAGGTATTAGAGCATTTTTCCCCATAGAGTTAGGATTCATCAGTTCAACTTTTCAATTTAAAAAACTTATGACAAAGAAGATAATCAAATCTAGAGTCCTTTTATTCTATTTCTGGACCTTGAAGTGCCCAATATAACAAACGCAGCCCAAACTTTTTGCTAGATAAATTTTATGGAGGTTAAACTAGTTTCTCCTTTATTATTTGTTAGTTCTGTTGTCTTCAGCAAGTTATCTCTATTAGCCTCAGTATTTTCTTCCAGAAAGTAGATAAATCCTCCTTCACTCACTTTTGAAGATTAAATAAGATATATTATGTAAAAATTAGCTTTAAAAACATAAAACATTATAAAAATGTTACTTATTTCAGAAAGCCATGATTAGAGTTCGGAAGTCATTTCATTACAAAAGAATTTTCATGCTAGTAATGATTTGTCATAAGAGAAACTGACCATCAATTAAAACTGCCACTTTTTTGGGGTGCCTGGGTGGCTCAGTTGGTTAAGCGACTGCCTTCGGCTCAGGTCATGATCCCAGAGTCCTGGGATCGAGCCCCGCATCGGGCTCCCTGCTGGGC